TTAAATTTTTCCCACTTGTGACGAATGCAGCTACCGATTTTTTGCATGCTAGCATGCTAGTTAACATTCGTGCCAGTCAGCTGTTGGCGCTCATGCTGGCCAATAGAATATTCCTGACTATTAGTGGCAGCCAGCTATTGGCTCTCACTCTGGCCAGTACAAAATGGCCGCAAACTACATGAAAACTACTGTAGAAGCATGAAAAACCGATTATTGGGAAATGCAAAGTCGGTCTTGACCTTACCACTAACTTGGAGCATGTGCATGTAAATTTTGGTGCAAATCCGTCGAAAATTGCGGCCGTGCATTCGTTACACACACACACACACACACACGTACACACACACACACACACACACACAGTGTCTTTTTATAGATAGAGATACTGAAAGGCCGAAACGTTGTAATAAATATGTCGACAAAGATGAGGACAATAGTCCGAATAATGTAAATAGTGTACATAATACTTCATCTCAGAAATATAGACAGTTACTGACAAACATCAATTTAAAACCTGGGAATTTGGAATTTTTGTTTTAAAATAATTTTCAGTTTTATACAATGTCTTACTCATGAAGTTTTGAAAGATTTCACAGCATTTCTTTTGACTGAAATTTGCCATTTTAAACAAACATTGACGTTTTAGGATTCAATGCTAGAACAATTTATTGCTATTACAACCTAAAAGCATGTACCGTAATTATTGACGTTCTGTTAATTTGTCAAGGAGATGATTTCTTGATAATATCAACTAAAGTCGATCTCAGCTTGTGGTAACGCACCTGACAACAATTTTGGCCAAATAAATGGCGGTCTTATTAGAAAACTTATTAAAAATATCCATTAAAAATGCACTGATTTCACACTTCTCCATTGTAAACCTCAAACCGGGCCCATATACAATAACACCAATCCTCGTAAAACTAATAATAGCAAAATATACGAACTAAGAGAGATCTACATGACGTGGACTAATTTCAAATCGAGCAGATTTTAACGATTTCAATACAAAAACACAACAAACGAAAACAAACAAAACAACAAATCAAACCAAACAAAAAACATTTTCTGTGAAGTTCAACCCATGCTAATTCTGGGTGTGGCTTCAAACTTTTAACCAACGCCTTTATCCCCTGTGCCATGTGTCCTTAACACATGACACAGTGGATAAAGGCGTTGGTTAGATCCAGTGACAGCACCCAAAGAGTGTGAGTTCAATACCCGGTTAAGACAGTGCAGAACTTTGAGACGGGAATTAACAGGAGATAACTGACATCCATTAGACATGGCACGTGGAACAAGAAGAGTCTACCCCAGTGAGCGAAATAAAGGGTTCATTTCGACATTCCAACCACCTGAAGAAGTCCAGAGCGTACAACGGCCGAGACGTTGTAACAAATATGGCGACAAAGGAGATGACAATAGTCCGAATAATGTAAATAGTAAAAATGAATAGATACATTTATGTCTATTATATAAACGTATTATTTATCATCTTCCTATTTTAATCTGTTTTATTCTGTTTTCTAACATGACCGGATGAAAGTTACAGAAACAACAAAAATGTTGTTATTCTTTGAAACACTTTATTCTAAATAAAACTAAATAAACTAAACATATATGTAGGAACATACAAAAACATTAATATATATGTGAACATAAAAAGAAAGAAGTCAGATTCATAATCTATAATACTTTCGCATTTATTTTTAAAAACAGTGCTCGATACACAGTAGAGCATAATATTGTAATTACTATTTAATAATATGTATTTATCGCGACATAGAAATTACCATGTCTCGAAACCAAAACCTAAATCTTAAATTAAACATAAATTTGTATAGATTCATTTTCAAGTGATTTGAAAATGAAACAGAACTTCAAATTTTATTATTTTAAAATTTAGGTTTTTGTTTCCAAACATGGTAATTTCTGCGTCTCGAGGAATGCTTAAAATTATATATATATATATATATATATATATATATATATATATAGATATAGATATAGATATAGATATAATTATTTAAAAATTTGATTCCAACACGCTACATAAGAGTTCTCATGTTTCAAAACAAGAGCCGAAAACTTCAATATAATTATTTGAATTAAATTGAATTAAAGTACTTCTATATTTTTTCATATATATATATATATATATATATATATATATATATATATGAAGAAATATAGTCTTAAGATGTGGTATATTTATGGTATAAAGTGCTCAATATCAGAGATAGCGTGTGTAAATATAAAAGTGAACATAGAAGTCAACACTTAGAGGCGACAGTCTTTTTCATGCTGGATGCAAACGTCAGGCCACGAGTGCTGTTATTTTTATTGTCTATTTATATATACGGGTCAGTGGTGCATTGTGGGTAGTCTATATTGGCGGTTATTGGCCAATAAATATCCGCCAAGATAGACTATATATATAAATAGCCGAGAAAAATAACAGCACTCGTAGTCTGACGATTGCATCTAATGTTGTCTTCTATGTTCATATATATATATATATATATATATATATATATATATATATATATATATATATATAAATCAACATGTTTTGTTAACTTCAGAAATTTAAAAAATTCTGTTTTATATTTTATTTCATTTTTTATATTTTCGAATAACTTGTGGCACTTCATAATGAAAATCCTGGAAAATCTCTCCGAATTTTCTGTTTTGTTCTGTTTTGGTTCAAGTACTCTATCTTCTCACCCATTATTTAGAGAATTTGATGTTTGTCAGTACAGTAGACAAGATTATTCAAATTAATTCAAATATAAATATCAATAATCACATCATTCGTGTAGGCTTTGCTATCGATTCAGCTCACACAAACGGCGGGGAAAAACTTTATACAACGTAAAAAAAAAATGGACAGCTCACTGTCAGTAATTTTATAGATGACTGCACCATTATGGACTCACCAGCTCCCTGTACGGTGTACGTTGACAAATGGCGTTCTTGGTCTACGCGATATAAACCAGCCCTAAAAATCTACAATCAACAACGGACAACGCCACACGTTGCCAGTCTTAAAAGGTTCCTTGATTTGTCTGTTAGCTCCGATAATTCGAGTCAAACATCCATGGTGATGATTCTTGAGGTTATTTAGCCGTCTAGTGTGGATGGTAATGCCGTCCATCGGTTATTCCCTGTACACAGAAAATACCGTAGATATCACCAGTTGGTCCACACAATGTTCCATTCATCTGGCTGGTCAAACGTTTGTAATCAAGAGCTTGCAACTATGCATATACAGGGTGTCCATAAAGTTCGTGTGCACTTTAAAATATTTATAATTTTATTTGTATTTGAGATAGAAATAATCTGTAAAAAATGTTATAAAGTTTAATGTACCTAGTTTTAAGTATAGCTAAAATAACTAATGTGATTTCAGGCATTACGGTAAATCAGTTGGCATATGTTTTCCGTGAACTGCAAAATCGTATTACCCTTTGTATTGTTAATGATGGAGGACATGTGGAACTTTAAACAAAATTTCAATAAAACCTTAAAAAAATATAGATTTACTTCTTTCTAATCCTTTTTACAAATCATTTCTATTGCAAATACAAATAAAGTGACAAATTTTTTAAAGTGCACACGAACTTTATGGACACCCTGTATATTTGTATTTACAGAAATGTACAAACACATCGAGTGCGTGGTTAATTCGTTGTCTAAATTACATAAAATAAAAATAAAACTGACATCGCATTTTAACAGATATACAGGGTGCGAGAGATAAATTGTCGTCTACATTACACAAAAATAAAAGTAAAGCTGACATCGCATTTTAAAAGATATACAAGGTGCGAGGGATAAATTGTCGTCTACATTACATCATAATAAGAATAAAACTGTCAGTTCATTTTAACAGATATATTTACCAAAATTACACAAAAATATCTTGAAATAGTAAAGAGTAAATTTATTCAATAAAATCGCCTTTGGCTTCAAGCACCGCTTCAAACACGGCCTCCAGACGACTTTGGAATCTCCTGAAACTCATCTGGATGGTCTCCTTGTTGTTGTCATAATCCTTGCCTTCAGTTCATCTTTTGATCAAATGCGCATATAATAACCAAAGGTTTGCAGTCTGAGAAGTTAGATGGCCAGATGTAAGGGGTGATGTGGTCGCAGAGATTCTTTGAAAGCCATGACTGGCTTCTCCTGCTTGTGTTGCAAGGTACAGAGTCCTGTTTCCAGACAGCATCTTCCAGCAGCCACCCTCTTGACCCAGGGCAGCACAACCTCATAAAGGCCCTTGATGTAGGCTTCTGTGTTGCGTCTGAGTCCTTGTGAAACAATGAATGGAAACATAATGTCGCCATCATTAGTGATCACTCCAAACACTATGATGTTGACTGGATATATGATCCAACTCTTTCTGAATCCTCTGCACTGTCCTCAGATTGACATCCAAGCACTCTGAAATATTCGTATTGAAGCTTACGGCGCGAATGCCAAGGAGAACAGTATGACGTTTCTAAATTTCTGGCAGAGTTAATAGCGTCATGGGGATGTTTTTTCTAACAGTGGGTGGCAAAATGACCCTATACAATTTACCCATCCTAGATATTTTTGAGGAAAATCTGTAACAAAGTGGAAAGATATTTTTCTGTGACGAAAAAGATGTCTTCGTTGACGTGATTACACATGCACATGAAGGAGAGGGGAAAATATGTTTGGGGGAATTTAATCCAACCGATTTCCCCAGTTTTGTTTTTATCACTTTTGTTGTTATACCACATTGGGTGGCCAGAAGACTGGCCGAGAAAGGTGTAATGCTGTATAAATCTGGACGTAAATTTACTATGGGTGATCTAGCGATTAAAGACCTTTCTATACATTTTCATCTGAAATAAAACTAAAAAGAAATATCTTATATAGGGTGTTGCAGCACAATCTGACACTTGAAAAAAGAAAATGTAATGGGAAATAAAAACAAAATTTGTATATGCAGATACCCGACGGTTTGACAATTAACTAACGTTTTTCTCTCTACCCTTTTCCAGGATGGAATATGAGCGCAGATCAGCTGTAGTAGCTTTTTTTGCGTCGGGAAGAAGCCTGCTGAAGTGATGGCTTGATTTAGGTTCAAGAGGACCATGGTCATGGATATTTGGAGGAAGTGGAAGGCGTGTGAGAACAAGGACGAGTTTACTGCCAAACGAAAGGCCCACAACGTTCGTTCTTCGGCCGTTATGACTGACGAGTTCGTCGCCGCCGTCAAGGAGACAGTCAACAATGATGGAAGCCGGAGCTACGCCAAGATCACTTCTGACATGGGCTGTTACATGTCTACGATCTGCCGAAAAATCAAGAAGGACATTGGTTACTTCTCCTACCGCTAGTCTCACTGCATGTTCATCACGAATGCCTGCAAGGAATCGAGGAAGGTCAAGGCGGCGGCTTTGCTGAACGAGCTCAAGCATGGGCCCGCCGGGATGCTGAGGTTCTTCTCTGATAAAAAGAATTTCATCCAGGACTAGACGAGCAACAGGCAGAACGACAGGTGGATCTGCAAAGACATTGAGGAGGTTCCCGTCGTGAAGCCTAAGAAGTTTCCCTCCTCCGTCATGATCCTTGGCATCATCTCCAGCGAGGGGAACGTCATGCTTCCGTTCTTCTTTCAAAAGTGACTGAGAGTCACCGCTGAGATCTACCAGTAGGTACTGACGAGCGTGGTGAAGCCCTGTGTAGAATAGGTCACTCCGGACGCCCCTACGTCTTCCAGCAGGACTCCCCTTCTGCACACAAAGCCAAGACGACCCAGGAGTGGCTGCTCAACAATGTTCCTCACCAATGGTCGCCAGACTTGTGGCCGCCCACATAACCCGACTGCAACCGCCTTGACTATTTATTCTGGGGCGTGATCGAGGCCAAGACCAAAAAACATGCCTACAAAACGGTCAACTCTCTGAAGTCTGCCATCGTGGAGGCGTTCGCCGCTATGGACATGGACATGGTCACCAAAGCGTGTGACTCATTTCGCGCCCGCCTTGAGATGGTCGTCGCCGCCGCCGGCGGTTACATTGAAAAAATAATGTAATATGTAACTCTAACTGTTGCTAAATAAACTGTCGGGTCTCTACATATAAAACTTTTTTTTGTTTTTATATATATATATATATATATATATATATTATATATATATATATATATATATATATATATATATATATATATATATATATATATATATATATATATATATATATATATATATATATATATATATATATATATATATATTAAGATCTGATCTCTGAATCTCTCTTTCTTAACAACACTACTGCTTTTTAAAATGCGGGATATGCGAAAAGATCAGCGATAAAAGACAGAAGTGATAGGAAACTGGACGAGGTTGTATTGGTTTTGCATCCAAATACATTGACCGCCAGATATTTAATCTTTAATGTCAAGGATTCCTGCAATTTCATCGTTTCTTATGATGCATAATTAATAGAGGCTTTTGTTCGTATTTCGTTTCCTTCTTCTAAATATGTATGAATATTTAATAAAAAAAAAAAAACGCTTAGCCTGAAGAAGTCTCTTTTGAAGGAAGAAACGCGTCACAAGGTGTTTTTTTTTCATTTTATCTTCAAAAATATATTTCTTCGGCATCTGCAAGAAATTGTTGCAGTTGCTAATGTTTTTCTTAAATTTCTCCAAATAAAAATTTAATTTAATTAATCAGTGGAAATTTCATAATATTTTTTCTTAATAACTTGACCATTTCGATCTCCAATACTTCCAATAAAGAACCTTGTCGCCATCCCTACACTAAAATGCATTTATAACGACCCGCTTCAAGATTTTGATGTTACGAGGTCATCAAAAGACTAATTTCTCCTTAACCAAGCCCCATATTTAAAAGAAATTTATAAAGGACACTATGAGCCTTAGATCGGTGTTACACCACTGATCCAGTTGGGAAATAAATTCATTCTTCAATAAGAATATATTTTACTTTTGATACACTCTATATATAAAATTGTGTGATGTATGTTTGAGTATACCTGAATCAAGAAAGAAATCTCTTCAAGACTTATGATAGCCAACGATTACGGACGATGACCCGAATGCCATAGTGTTTAATTAATTATGCACCTTTCCACAATTTGACGGAAGAAAATGACCGGTCGAATTCTTGTCTAATTGCATCAACGTAATGGGGACAATTTCACAGTTTTATTAAAGGTAGGATCAAATGTCAATTAGCTCTGTCGCTTGTCATTCTCGACCAATTCAATATAATCAAATTTAATTTCTTTTTCCAATGGGCCACTTCACTGGATTATTCGTCTTATTGACAATATTCAATAGGAGGAGATTAAATGGAATTTTCTCGAATGAGTAGGAGATCAGAAATAATAACTTACTGTTTTGTTTACAAATCGTTTTACGTGTATATTTTTGGGATGGCTTCAATTTGTGTCTATTAAATCGACCCCCAAAACGAATGAACCTATTATATACTTTTTTGCAATACTTGACTCAGGGAATGAAATTCACAACGTCCTGGTAAGTTTTAGCTGGGGTTTGAATCTGCCTTGAATCTGTCGGCTCTTTCTTTCCCCGTTTTAATTTATGATACCATCGGTTGGACCAGTCCTTTTGAAGCGTGATTGCTAATATACTTTTCGCCCTTGACCGTTAATTGCTTCTTTAACGGTTGCTTCTTTCTGTTGTTTATCCGCTCATAGCAGTTCTTTTTACAGAAAAAGCAGGATCATACCAGCTCCGTCTAGAATTTCATAAGGGCTTGAACATCTCGTCTTTCACTGGCCAATATATACGAAACCTTTTTCCAAGAATTCAAAAAATTAAACCGCAACAAATCAAATTTTGGCGGTATCACTTAAAAGGGCCAAAAAATGCAACAATTTTTACCTAAACAATCTGGCGTTCAGAAAAATATACTTCTATCAAAAAACGTGTATTACAAAAACAACCTAGACGATGATACATTTACAATTCTACCATTTTTAAAATAACAAAAATAAAATTTTTATAAGACTTAAAGTCTGGGTAATTTTAAACTTAACTTCCTCGAAATCATTTACAATTAGAAACTTGATAATATATACAATTTTAAACAATTTAAAAGGAAGCTTCAGTACGCAGCTATAGTTGACAGTCATTGCAAGCCGTCAGGTATCCGCCATGTTTGAACTTTAAGAATATTCTCTGTATTGGTGCGCTGGGTTGTTTACTTTATGGCAATAATAAAATGTAATCAAATGTATTAAACTGCTGACGGAGTTGTTTTCAAAGTAAACATTTCAGTAAGAGTATATCAATGGCTTTGTCCATGTACCAAATTTGAATAAATCCAATATCAGTTAGTGTACAGAGTATACTCTTTAGAGATAATGGTAAAAATACATTTTCGTAAATGATTGCTGATAGGTTCAATGTTTGTCGGATGACCCCAAATTATAAGTTTTTTTTACGAATATTAGTAACAGTAAATAAAAAAATAAATAAATAATATAAAGATAAAAGTAAAAAAAATGGTTTTGTATTGAGCGAAACAGTCGAAAAAGGCTGGAAATCAAATGGTAGAAAACGACAAATCACACATTGGCTAATGTAACTAAATTAATTGGAGTAACTACTCACTGTGTCAGTAATTTACGAAGTTATTTTGGACAAAGGCGAAGAGGGACAAATTTATGCGAAGAAAAATGTTCCTATACAAGTATTCCGAGTGAAGACGGCTTTGCAGCATTAAAAATCATCTTTCGAAATCATACTTTTAGTTGGGCCTGAACACTGACTTCTGGTGTCGGTGAGAAAGGTGCAACTAAGTCATGTAAAACACAGGCTCTATTTACTTAGAAATAGTCGCCTAATATCGCATAAAATCACTACATTATGCACTTGATAATAAAACCAACACAAGAATAAATTTAGCTTTGATAATGAAGACCTGGACAAAACTCATTCTATAGACAATATAACAAAACATGAAAAATAAAATAGACTCCTACATGAAAACGAACTAAGTTATTTGGAAAACTAACCACATTTTCCCGATAAGCTATATTCTAACTTTATTAGAGCCAAATCATACCTAAAATGTACTACTACTGCCATATATGGACAGAAGCTGTTCAAATCTCGATAGTCCAAAAAGCGTTCTTGCTTCCTTTACGCGTTCTAGCGAGTGTTGAACGATTTTTTACACTAAAATTCCTTTCTCACAGTCGAAACATCGCATGATTCACTCAGCTCTATCACTCTTTTAATGGAAAGTGTGCAGACAAAACACTTTTCGTTAGTTCCAGCAGTTTTAATTGTTACGGCTAAAACTAGCCAAGCGACGTGCATTGTAGTGTACAAGCCTAATTCCCTTTGTATTCGTCTGGTGGGATATAAGCCCCACTCAAAAAACTTCTTCCCACGAACTATTATCTTGTTGAACCGACTCTCAAAAAATGCTACCTTGATCACTACAATCTTAACCTATGTTAGTCTATGGCTAACAGATAACACCATAAACTGTGCCTTTCACTCTGTAACCCTCTACTTCGAATGTCTCTTGGGGCTTGTACTCGGTGAAAATCATTGTTAAAGCATTCTTGCTTTTCTAAATCGCCTTCGGTAATACAAGTTTCATGAGTAATATTTTCAATTTTTAACCAAGGTTGTTATTAAAAAAAATATACCACTCTAAAACCCTTAAGTGCATTTTATTAGTTTGCTTGGGCACTTGGACGTGGTGTAATGGTTAACAAGCTTGTCACGCTAAATCATAAAATTGAATAGTGAGTTGGATACTTACTGGGTGCTCCACGCTTTCGGCTTTTGTGTCACAACGCTTAGAAAATCATTTACAGCACTTATACGCCGTGTAATGTTAAGGAAGCTTGCCTCGCTAGATCAGTTACGACTGAATAGTGAGTTTCAACCTCACCGGCTGCTCTAAAATTTCGGCCTTGTGCCACAAGTAAGATAAGCTGAGAAAATGCTTATTTTATTAGGTTGATAGCATAGAAGTGTTACCACCCCTTTTTTTTCAGCATAAGCGACATTACTTTTGCTGTTTTTTGACAGCTGTTGAAACCGTTCACGTAAAATTTGATTTGGTAAGAAAGCATAATTTAATAATCATGGAACTCTGAAAGTAATGCATAAGAACTTACTCTTGAAGCTAACAGTTTAGAGTATCAGTGTTGCAGTTTGGTATAATCCGTTTTACTCAACTAATGTCAGCTTTCAAAATGTGGATATGGTAGTGTTGTTCTGCAGTAGATTTTATCGAGCTCTTATAGGAGACCATCAAAACTGTGTAGTGAGTTTAATTCGTTACTGGTTGCCCCATACATATATCAGTGTGCCAAAATTAACAAAGACATTAAAATGTTTATTCACTCGACTTGTATGATAATGGTTAGTGCAGCCTCTACTACCGTTATAATAATTA